TTTTTCCACCTCCTCTTTTTATTTTTTCCTCTCTCTTTTTTATATTTTTTTTTTCTCCTCCTCTCTTTTTATTTTTTCTCTTTAGGCAGGAAACAGCGTCTTTGTTAAATAATACATTGCAAGGTTATTTATAGCCAGCAAGGTAAATCGATAGAGAAGGAGTCTAAAAAATACGGGTTTTTTTGTACTGGTTAAAAACTGGTTTGATTCAGCGTTTTTAACGGTTCGCCTCCTTCAATTAAAGATTTCTGGTATCTGTCGTTGTCCAAAATCCGGACTGTGTTAAATCTGGGAGATGAGGGTTTAGCCAGTGCCCATCTGGTCGGAGAGGGATGATTATTTTTTTTTAAAGGAATGCAGATTTGCACGCCTCAATGAGACTTTTTGCACCATTTTCATGATAAATCCCGTCTAGATTATATCAATATAACAGCGATCCGACAGTTCATCAGCAGGTGATTATCGCTTGGGTTAAGAGGAAAAAAAAAAAAAAAAGAGGGGATTTTTTTTATTACCTTCTAAACCAAAATGAAGTGATAATTATTTAGCCATTTGGCCGACATTCTTTGACAACAATTACTCAAGCTTTCGCCGTTCCTCTACCAGTTCTGGGCGATGAATTCTGCATTTCAGTCCGACCACAGCAGGTTGGGGAATTATTTAAACGCTATCAGGCAGGAAAACAGGCAGCGAGGGGCAGAGGGGTCGGAGCCGCCCCAGGGGCGCGGCTCGGGGAGGGGGGGATGATTCCGGCGCTTCTGAAAATCCCCAGCCAAATTGCGGGAAACTCGGGTTTAAAAGAAAAAAACAAAACAAACAAAAAACCAAACCGAAAAAATAAAACGAGAGTGTAGAGAACGGCTTTGAGTGTTGGCGAGGCTTTTAGACACCTGACTGGGGAAAAAAAAAAAAAAAAGCGTCTGTTCCTTCTGCAACGTTGCTCCGAGACATAAATTTGCCATGGTTGGTGGTGAAACGCTCCTTTCAGGTCGCAGGCGCTGGCTGGGGCTGGCACCGGCTCCTGCCGCCCCCGACACTAACCCGGAGCCTTTTAACACTATTTTTTTGTGGTGGCGAGGGAGAGTAACTTTTTTTTTTTGTTTTGAGGACGGAAATATGAAAAGCGGGCGAGAAACGCGTCGAAAATTCGCCTCGTTCACAGGGTTGTAATAAAACAGGGAGATCCCTTTTGCTGCTTTATTGCCGTGCTTAACACCCGCAAAGATGCTGCTGTGCCTGCCTTGCCTGACCTCCTTCTTTGGGAGCAGATCCTGCAACGGCATCAACAAAAAAACCAAGAAATCTCCCTCTTTGGCATCCGCCGGCGTTCCATCCTCATGGCGAATTCGTGGGGGTTATTTTTTTGGGTTGTTTTCGGGAGAAAAGGGATTTTTATTTAGGGAGGCGGCCGGGCGCGCGCACGTCCCGCGCACTGTGGGGCTGATGGCAGCCGCGGGCTCTGCTCTCTCGCCCACCCAGACCATCCTGAACTCCATGCACAAGTACCAGCCCAGGTTCCACATAGTCCGGGCCAACGACATCCTCAAGCTGCCCTACAGCACCTTCCGCACCTACGTGTTCCCCGAGACCGACTTCATCGCCGTCACTGCCTACCAGAACGACAAGGTATGGCCGGGCAGCCCCTGCCCTGCCCCTGTGCCCTGTCCCTACCCCTGCTCTCACCCCTGCCCCAACCCTCACCCCTTTATTAGGGTGTATTTACATACATGCGTGTGCGTGAGGATATTTCGGGGCAGAGTGGCCAAAAAGCAGTAGTAGGAGAAAGGTTAAACCCCAAGCCCTCAGAGCAGGGTGCACCCTCGTACTTACTCCTATTATTATCGCTGTTTTTAATACTAATACCAGCATCATTACCAGTATTTCAATTATTACTATTAATAATTTCCTCCTGGGGTTTGTTGTGTCTTTCTGGGCCGTGGGAGTCTTTGCTGCAGGCCCGGGCTGTGGAGAGCAGCACCAGGCCTGGGCAGCCTCACCGAGAAGGTGCCCTGGGCTCTGGAGGAGCCAAAAAATAGAGCCAGATAAGCTAATTTTAGTTGCTTTCGTGATTTAGCAAGTGTCACCCTGTGAGCAACCAGAGCCTGGAGAGCTCGGTGGGGAGCAGAGAGCCTCTGCCGTCCCCCTCCAAGAGTTGTGTGTACGTGTGTGTGTGTTTTAACCCAAAAGCTGACCCCCACCTCCACCCCTGGCTGCTGATGCTAATTGACAGCTCTGTCTGAGGGTCCTGGTGGGCTTGTTTCCCTCGTAAAGTTTATGGCGAAGAGTCACAATCGATTAAAGAGCACTTTGTCTGC